TGTTCTTATGATACAATCTCCCACAGTATTCTTGCCAACAAGTTAAGAAAGTATGGATTAGATAAATGGATTGTAAGATGGATAAAAGCTGGCTAGACTGGCGGGCCCAACGGGTAGTGATTAATGGCTCTGTGTCAGATTGGCAGTCGGTTTCTAGCAGCGTGCCCCAAGGATCGGTTCTAGGGCCGGTTTTGTTCATCTTTATTAATGACCTGGATGAGGGGATGACACTGCAAGTTTGCAGACGACACTAAGCTAATAGGAGAGGTAGATATGCTGGAGGGTAGGGATAGGGTCCAGAGTGACCTAGATAGATTAGAGGATTGGACCAAAAGAAATCTGATGACTGAGGTTCGACAAGGACAAGTGCAGAGTCCTGGGATGGAAGAATCCCAAGCATTGTTACAGGCTGGGGACCGAATGGCTAAGTAACAGTTCTGCAGAAAAGGACCTGGGGATTACAGTGGATAGGAAGCTGGATATGAATCAACAGTGTGCTCTTGTAGCCAAGATGGCTAGGTTGCATTAGGAGAAGCATTGCCAGCAGATCTAGAGAAGTAATTATTCCCCCTTTATTCGGCTGTGGTGAGGCCACATCTGGAGTATTGTGTCCAGTTCTGGGCCCCCCCACTACAGAAAGGATGTGGATACATTGGAGAGGGTCCAGTGGAGGGTGATCAAAATGATTAGGGGGCTGGAGCATATGATCTAGGAGGAGAGGCTGAGGGATTTTGGTTTTAGTGTGCAGAAGAGAAGAGTGAGGGGGGATTTGATAGCAGCGTTCAGCTTCCTGAAGGGAGGTTCCAAAGAAGATGGAGAAAGGGTGTTCATAGTAGTGACGGATGGCAGAACAAGGAGCAATGGGCTCAAGTTACAGTGGGGGAGGTCTAGGTTGGATATTAAGACAAACTATTTCACTAGAAGGGTGGTGAAGTACTGGAATGGGTTACCTAGTTAGGTGGTGGAATCTCTATCCCTAGAGGTGTTTAAGTTTGTTTGACAAAGCACTGGCTGGGTCGATTTAGTTGGGATTGGTCCTGCTTGGGTAGGGGGTGGGACTTGATGACCGCCCGAGGTCTCTTTCAGCTCTATGATTCTAAGGGAAAGGTGGCGCAAGAGGTAGAAGTTTGAGGACCACTGCTTTAGAAGATGTTATAGGAGCTCTTACATTACAGTGATTTTTGTTTAGGGGTGCAGTAATTCGCCATTTTAAAGTGTGGCTGCCCTTCGGAAAGAGAAACATTTTTGAATGGTCAATCACAAGCATTTAATGTATTGTATGTATTTAGTCATACCTTGCAAGAATAAATTTATTTTCTAAGGGGATAGATTGTTTGGCTAATTCCCCAACAGAATTGTTAAGCGCTGTTAGTACAGGTTGAACTTTCTAAAATCCAGGCCTCTGATCAGCAACATCCACGGACCAGAAAGACTATGGATATTGTCGGATTAGAGAGAGCCCCAGCTGGGCAGGTTCAGGGTCTAGGCTAGTGGTGGGAAGCTCAGGGCTGCCGTAGTAGGGTGCAGTCTGGGTGGCAGCGGTGCTGGCACAGAAGAGAGCAAGTCCTGCTTGGCAGGAGGCAGTAGGGCCAGGCTGGCAGCTGGCACAGAAGAGAGCAAGTCCTGCTTGGCAGGAGGCAGCAGGGCCAGGCTAGCATAGCGGGGATGAAAGTCTGCTTGGGCTAGAGGTGGGGTGGGGGAGAGGGTGCGGGGATGAAAGTCTGCTTGGGCTAGAAGTGGGGTGGGGGGGGAGACCGGGGGGCTGGAGCCCAGGAGCCTGGCAGGGCTAGAGGCAGCAGGCCTGCTATGGGGAGCAGGGCCAAAAGCTAGAGGGGAACCTTGATGGTGGGGCAAACTCTGTTGTTGGGGACTGCTCAGGTCCCAAGGTTATTGGACCAGGAAGATCCCACCTGTAAAACCTTTGTTATGTGTGAGTCAAAAGAACCAAACTTGCTGGATATTTCAAAAACCATTTTTGTACTGGCAAACTACATATTTAATCTGTAGACCATTGGGACGTAGTACCTAAGGGACGCTGCAATGCCATTTTAACAGTCATTTTCAGAACAGAACCATACTTTTATCAAAATATCTTTTTTTGTCTACTATTCCATTTTCAAGGTAGAATATATAATACATTTCCTGAGTGTAATTCCCTTGTATGGTGGTCAAGCATTAAACATTGCAGCTTTTTGTGTCTGAGTCATCCTCTGCCATACTTCATTTTGAATGGTTGTATCCACCTTCTCTAGGTGTCAGGTACATTCTGGCCAAAACTTAATTGTTAATGTGGGGGGGATGCACATTTTCCCTTGTCCTGCTAACTACTTCACTTCTGTGTCACCACCATCCTTGTGTTAGAGAGATATGGTGGGCGAGGTGGTATCTCTTACCTCTCCAACTGTTTGAGCTTACACAGAACTCTTCCTCAGAACATCATCCCCATGTAACATTTATATCATCCATTCAGGTAAATTAGTTAAGCAGCATGCTTTGTCCTGATGCCTCCTTGTTTGCTTCTTGTCTAGGTAGTAGTCTAGCATTCCATGTGCACTGACAACATTTTCCAGCAGTAGGCTGTAAATTAAACTCTTAAAATATATATGAACAAAGCACATAGTTGTCATTGTATATTTGTGTAGTTTTGTAATGTGTTTAAAGAGCACTAATCACAGTATATAGGCACTGATATGGGTGTTGGTATATTTGCTTGGAGTAACTATTCTATATGTTGTTCATTGTTCTGTGTGCACACCTGGTGCAGAGTCAACTTACATGCTTGTGTTTGAAAATTTAACCCCAGAGATTTTTTTGCTAAATATGATATAACTTTCAGCAGTTGTTTACCATTCTTATTTTGAATGTGTTAGCTGAGTTTCTAGTGGCTAATTTGGAAATCTAACACAGTTGCAAGCCTAGAAATGACAGGCTTATGTTCTGGCTACAGAAAGTCAGCAGAAGTAGGTGCTTTGATGCATCCTATAGTGGGAAAAATAACTGATAACTAGAGAGAAAAGGGATCTTTCAGATAAATTTATAAAAATATAGTGTTCCACTGGGGTCATGCACATCAACTTGGTTCTTCTTGGGTGGGTGTGTGTGTGGGGAGGGAGGGAGGTAATTAAAGAAAATGAGTATTTGATTAGAAGAAAAACATGTACCTATGTGGACTTTGTGAACATATATAATAAGCAGGGAAAATTAGGACTGATTTGGAAGCCGACTAAGCATAATCATGTTCCTATAAGTCCTAGTAAAATAAGGCCATGTGTCAAAAGTGTTGCCTGTAATCCTTTAAGAAAGCTGATTATTAGCATCATCTGAACAAATTGTTTGGCAAGTGGTAGTGAATGACCTGGAGAAAACATGCAGATATAGTACAGAATTTAGGTAGTTAATAATGGTGTCATCATGTAGTCCTAAAAAAGTGATTGATGTAGGAAATTAAAGTAGCTTAATTGTGACTAATGTACTTAAAAGAATCATGTGTCAGTGAGTTCTACAGTTTTGAATTTTTTCAAATGCATAAGTGATTGCTTTCCCACTAATTAATATTCTTTGTTATGTGAAATTTATTAGTAATTTAAAAGTGTAGTCCACACAAATTTTGCATGTATTACATTGTAGGTTAAGGTTTTCAGTGATTACCTAAAGTTAGATTCCTAAATTCATATTTAGGTACCTAAATTAGAGGTCTGATTTTCACAGGTGCTAAATGCCTAGCAGTTCTCTTTGACTTTGTTGGAAGCTATTGCATCCTCAGCATGTTAGGAAATTTCATGACTTATAATTCGCTACCTACATATGAATTTAGGAGCCTAACTTTAGACACCAACATTTGAAAATCATAGCCATAATGTATCGAGAATGCTATAGTGAAGGCAAATAATTATAGTGACAAGATTTACTATAAAATATGTTTCTAAAAGCATATAATGCCTCTGGGAGGAAGGGAGTGATTTAAATGGAAAAATATGGTTATTCTGGATTGTGTATCTGGCCTTGAAAAGTAAGTACATGCACTCAGAACCAGCAGTCTTTCCAAGCTGTGCTCTTGAAGCATATTTTTATATATATTATAGTATAAGACGTTAGGTTATGCTCCATGGTTACATCCATAGGAACTAATATGATAAATGTGTGCATTTTGAAGGCTCCACGACTATAGTCTTGAGTTTCCAAACACTTTGTATTTTTTTTTAAATATCATTTTCATTTATAGCTGGAATCTGGCCTGTTGATGTGTGTAGCTGCCAGTTTTTAGTCTTGCCAACAGACTTGACACACATGGTTTCAATGGGCTATTTAGCTATCACTGCTAGTTGTGATGAATGTGTCCTGAGACTTGTTAGTGAGTGGGGGTATATGAAAAGGTTGAAGAAGCTCTATTTAGTCCTTGTATTCTTTGTGCATCTGTGGCATTTAGCAATAACCCCCTACATCTGTTGAGGAAGCTTTCCCTGGGTTCTTGTTGTTGCTGTCTGGATCTTATTCATCTTTAATACCTGCCTCGTATCTACTTTTGTGTACAATCTTCCTGCAAAAACAGCCACATTCTGAAGCCTTCACTCAGGCAAATCTCCCATTTAACCCTGTAAGAACCGAACAGATTAAGGACCACGGGATTTGGCTCATACGTTATGTACTAGACTTCATATTTTTGTAAAACGGGGGAGCATACTTAAATCTCTGCATGGATCCAAATCCCAATGGGAATTTTTCCATTCACCTTCAGTAGCTCAGACCCCAAAACTTATGGTCATTGTCTAAACTAAGCTAAAATTATCTTTGGCTCTTTATCGCTGTCTGTTTTGAACCTTGCAATGATTTCTTTTCATGTAGCTGCAGTAATGATCAATGTTTTATCAAATAACTTGCTTTACAAAGAAACTAACAGCATGGTATATCTAGTATATTGTTGACCAGTAAGATAGTTCACCATATTTGTACTTTGCTGTGCATGTTAATACCAGAATAAAAATAAAATTTTGTTTTTGCAGGTGAGAGACCTTTCCATTGCTTATTTCCTGGTGGGATTAACCTATCTCTATGTTGGATTGTTCATTTTTGCTGCATTTCCTTCTCCACCGTTGTCCAAAGAGTGCATTGAACAGGTCGGGAAGACACTTTACTGCACTGTTTTCATCCCTGCTCTTCTAATTACTGTGGCAACAGCTACAATATGACTTTTGCCGCAAGAGGCAATGCAAATGAAGTGTAGATTAGCATTTTCCCACGCTTCATTTGCATACTCTCTTTCATTCCATTTTTGCGCTAGGGGTTTTTACACAAAAACAGGCAGTATGACCATGGCCATTTTGCACAAAATCCCCTTTTTCCGCAAGATCCTTATGCCTCTCTGGGACAGGCATACGGATCTTGCAGAAAAAGGGGGTTTTGTGCAAAACGGCCGTACTGCATGTTCTTGTGCAAAAACAGAACGAAAGAGTATGCAAATGAAGCGCGGAAAAATGCTAATCTGCGCTTCGTTTGCATTGCCTCTTGCGGAAAAAATCATAGTGTAGCCCTAACCTGTGTGTATAAAATTCTGTAATTGTTCCTCATCCACTAAACTTTTGTCTGTATATTCCTATAACTGGTGGCCCTTGGGGTCAGGGACTGTTCTCAAATGTGTTGAAAGTGACTGGCATATTGAGGGCATTTGTACAAACAAATACTAATGATGGCATTACATTTCTAATCTGCCTGCCTGCCACTGATTCCATACCCATGTAAGGATAAACATGGTCAACAAAATGTCTAATCATTGTAACTGAAAAGTAACAGAGAGGCAGTCATGTTAGTCTAAACTTGGTAAAACAAAAAAAGCAGTCCTGTAGCACTTTAAAAAGTAACAAAATGGTTTATTAGGTGATGAGGTTTCTGAAAAAGTGGGTCTGCCCCACAAAAGCTCATCACCTAATAAACCATCTTGTTAGTCTTTAAAGTGATACAGGACTGCTTTTTTTGTTTTACATTGTAACTGAGCAGACCAAAGAGTGCTCAAAAACAAAATAAATCAAACTTGTGAGCTGGTTAATTTATTGGAGGACTAATAGAGCATGAGCTGAACAATTGGGCCTTCTGAAGGCTCTGATCTTGCATAAACTGTCAAACACATGTTTCTTTTATTGTTAGTGATTATAAGAAAATAGTTATGGATTGGTTTGTATAATTAACAGATATTTCAAGTTGTTGAATCCATGCATTCCTTATCTGTATATGATCCAGCTTGAATTATTACATGTAGGTCACAAACAAGGTGGATTTGTCATGACAGCTGCAGTTTCCAAACACAAATGTAAGGTTTCATAAATATTTCACGGGGCGAAGGATCTTCCACTGGCATCAACAGATATTTATGCACTTTTGGGGGCAATTGGTGCCTGCTAGAGCATCATTACTCCCAAGGTAAAGAAGCCTAGAGCCAACAGAATATTCTTATGAGTTATCAATAGCCTCAGTTTATTAATGTAAACACATTACTGTGGATAATGGGGGCATTTGAAATCTTTTGCATATGGTGCCTGGTCTCAGCTCCATATTCTGTATTCAGAAATGTATGCTGTATGGAAAAATGGCATTTAATGATGACCATATACAAATCACTAGCCATTCGTATTTCAAACCTTAGGTTATATTTAGTTGTATTCAAGCTGTACAAGAAAGTTCCATTTTATATCTTTGATTTGAGAAATACAATTCATACTTCCTTTTTTCTCCCTCACAAGACTTGTTAGGAATCTAAAATCACTGTTGTCAATCCTGCCTAATTAAACTTTCTTATCTTAGAATTTTTTAGATAATTTTCCTAGCAATGACATCCTGACATTTGTTGCAAGATTGTTCCTGCTGTTCCAGATGATAACGGTATACCCTCTGCTGGGCTATTTGGCACGAGTTCAGCTATTAGGACATGTCTTTGGCAATGTTTACCCCAGGTAAGGACTCTACTCTGTGTCAAGGGGTTCACATATGATGCTTCACTGGTTTCTTGTGGTGCCAGAAATTCTGCAAGCATTGTGGAATTTGCAGTGGGGAGAGGTAAGTATTTCTGTTTTGCAGTGACATTTTTAATGGCCATGTTTAATGATTGGATGAGCATGAAATATAAGCCACACTTTTGCCTTTGGAAGTGGGCCCTACAGGTCAGGACTCTGACACATGTTGTTGGGGCAGGATGAGAAATCTTGTATTTCAGCTGCCTGTTGTGTGGACTGCTTAAACTGGGGAACGGGCTCATAGAGCTTAGGAACTCAGTGGGACCTCTCCAACAGAGTGGACACTGACTAGGGTTCTGTGCATTGTGTCCCTTCTGACTCCCTGCTTGTGACTCTGTGATCCCCATGCCCTTCCCTGTGTTTTCATCTGTTGCCTCCCCCCATTTGCTTCAGCCCTGGGTTCAGTGGCTTTTCCCCTTAGGCTGGGGGAAGGGTCTTCAGATCTGCATTTTCAGATGTGGGCAGGTTTGCACACCACCCTCTCAGGAACTCAATAGGTGTCTGTTCTGTGAATAAACAGGCAAAGCCAGAAGTCTGAGGCAAGAGAGGAGCAGGAATAGGAACAAGGACAAGCACAGCTGTGGGCATGGGTGGCATTGATCCGCTCCTAAACTGTTATGGAGGAGTGGGGGAAGGCTTATGAGCAGGATTGCTAAAGCAGTATCTAGCTTGGCTGTGGCAAATCAGTTGGCTGAGGCAGTGCAGCTGGGTTCATTAGTTGCCTAGCAGCACTGTTAGTCAAGGAGCAGGCCAGCAGTTGCTTTGGGCTAGTCTGGTCCCTGACACTATCCAACTGTTTCTTCCCAGCTGCAATCAGGAACAGAGTTTAGATAAAGGATAAGTATTCCTCTCTGGGCAGAATCTGCTCTCTTGTGTTGACTCCATAACTCAGATTGGTTGAAGGGGAATTTTTTTGCTAGTTTACATTCCAGCAGATTCCCTTAGCCAAACCAGTGCTACTCAGTTCAGACATTTTAAACAGTTATAGCTTACTTGACCCAATAAGGACAAAAAGAGCTCCAGGAGATCTCCATAGGCAAGTCTGATAATTCTTTACAGAGGAAGAAAGGGAATGCCTCATTGCTCTGATCTGTTGTGCTTGGCAAAAAGTAAGCTATCTCACAAATGTTCCAAAGGAAAACTTGATCTTTTGAAGAGAGTGGGTTCTCCTCACTGCCATGTTCCACTTCCTGGTACATAAGTGAAGGATTTCCACCATTGCTCTCCCCATCTCCGAAAGATTATTTCAAATAGATTAGCCCTCTGGCAGATACTCACACAATGAATTGTGTAAGTGTCTTTTTTTCCATATGTTAGCCTTGCTGTTTTTCTTCACAGGTAATTGAAGGAGTTAAGTCAAAAGGACACAGGCCTGCTGATGTGGGGGTAGGCGGGGAGCGGGTAGGCAAAGAGGGCAAGTACATCAAGACGCGGTAATTCTAAGGAGCCTGCAGCTCCAGCTGCCATTGCTGCAGCCAAGCCCCAAGCCCTTTAAAGTGCTGCACAGCGAGCTATCAGCGGCCCTTAGGACCTCCTTGGGAGGTAGGGGTGCCATGCTCTAAGCTGTGCTGGGGGGACACCCCGCAGTCTGGCAGCACTGGTGAGCTGGCTTCCTTCAGCTTTGTCCCTTCCGCCTGAGGCCTTGCGTTTTCCGGGAGTGCAGAGCCAGCCCCCGCCACCTTTCCCAGGGGCCTGCCTGGCTGAAAGGGCAGGTAACATTCTCGTGGTCATGACATTGCCAGGATGCATCCTGAGTTTATAGAGTGCTAGTGTAGGAATTACCACACTGGGTCAAACCTAAAGGTCATCTATTCTGGCATCCCGTCTTCAACAGTGGCCAGTACCAGATGGTTTAGAGAAGGTAAAAAAATGTTGTAGTGGAATTATGGAAAAATTGGACAATTAAAAGGAAGCATCTTTCTACTCATTACTTAATGATTGGCTTATACTCTGGGCATGAGTGTTTTACGTCCTATCTAATGTAGCTGTGGATGTTCTCATTGCCTTTATAAATGGCTAATCCTTTTGGAATCTCACTGAGGCTCTTGGCTTTCATGATATTTTGTAGCAGTGGGTTACCTATATGTTGTGGGTTAGGTATAAAAAGAAACGTCTGCTCTTCAGATTGCTTTTTAGCTGTCTTAATGTCCACCTTGTGTTTCATCTGCCATGTTTTGTGCTTTCAACTGGCATCACTTAGGCTGGGTTTCCAGTTAGGAAGAATAGCTCTCTTTGGCTTCAGTGACCTGGTCAGGGACACAACTCCATGTTTGTGTGTCCCTAAGCCTCTGACTGTCAAAAATTGCCCTGTTCTGACCCTTTATCCTAAGTGCCACTCAGTAAGAGGACAGAGTTAGGGGTGGAACATAAATGGCTTTCAGCCATCTTTGTTGCGTCCAAATTGTGGGACCATCTGGGGCCCTGCCTGGCTTCCAATATAAATTAGAGCAGCATTGGGAGAGTTCTAATGTGTGTTTGAATGCAGTGATTCTTAGGGGACTTTTCTGGCAACCAAATATAGCTCGTGGGCCACAAGCTCATCTAATCCTCTAGCCTCTCCCTACTATATTTTCCATGATGGGGGCTGTGAAGGGTCAACCCTGAGTCAACTATTTCTCACCAGGATGCTTACTTCAGACTGCTTCCAGAAGCAGCTGGTACATCCCTCCAGTTCCTTGGTGCAAGGACACCTGGGTGTTTCCACACCCTGCCCCTGCCTGTGGCACAGGCACAGCTCTAAGCTCTGGTTCTGCAGCTCACATTGGCCACAAACTGTGGACTATGGGAGCTGCAAGGGTGGTGTCTATGGATGGGGGCAGTGCACTGTGCTCCCCTAGCCTCCCCCTTGTCTAGCAGCCAGAGGGGGACACTAGCAGCTTCTGGGAGCTGCCTGAGGTAAGTGCTGCATGGACCCTGCTCCTCAACCCCTTGCTCCAGCTCTGAGCCCAACCACCTCTAGAGCCTGCATCTTCTCCTGCACTCCAAAACACTTAGCCCTAGCCCAGAGCCCCTTCTTTCATGGCAAACCCCTGAGCCCAACCTCCTGCCCTAGACTAGAGCTCCCTCCCACATCCTGAACCCCCTCAGCCTCTGCTCTTTATCTGCACCCCGGCTCCTGCACCCCAACTCGGGCTCAGTTTGGTGAAAATGAGCAAAGGTGGGGAAAGTGCGTGGTGGAGGGAGGGGGGGATGGAGTAACTGGGGGCAGACTGTAACTGGGTGTTCTGTTTTTTGCAGTTAGAGAGTTGGCAACCCTAATGGCGATCATTCAGGTGCTCAATGTAAGACCACACCTCCTCTAGTCAGATTATACCCAAACAGATTGTACCTACCCTACTGCTCAAAATTCTGTGTAATAACCATCCTTTTGTAGGCTGTTTCTCTCAAAATTCCTAATATTTGAGAGCCTTTCTCTTGCAGCTATTGTGTCTGACCTTTGTGTGCCTGGAGCTCTTCTCTACAGGCCTCTTTTATTAGTTACCGTCTTTTAGCAAATTTAACCCCGGCACAGTCGTGTATACCATGTGGGTTATACTTGTGCGCGGGGTATACAAGATTCTTTTTTTTACTGAAATAGCAAAAACCGGGGGATATATTTGAGTGCGGGGTATAGTTGCTAAAATATGGTAGTTGTAAGGATAACTTTGTTTATAGGGATTTTGTTTTCATCTTTTCACACACATCCTCCTGAATTATATCAAGACTAAAATGGTCATTCTTCCCTGTGCCCTCTTTGGTAGAGGAGTAAATGAGGTATAGCCTGGAGATTATATGGGCCGTGAATTTGTACTTAAACACTGTGTCTAGACTACATCCGTCTGTCGACAGAGGGATGTAAATGAGGCACTTAGAAAGTGCAAACGAAGCGGGGATTTAAATATCCCACGCTTTAGTTGCATAATCGCATCACAGTGGTCTTTCGAAAAAGTGCCATTTTGAAAGTAAAACCGCGGTCTAGATGCGGTTCTTTCAAAAATGGCAGGCTTTTTTGAAAGATCCTGTAAACCTCAGAAAAAGCCTGCCTTTTTTTGAGAGAACCACGTCTAGACCGTGGTTTTACTTTCGAAATGGCGCTTTTTCAAAAGAGTGCCATGACGCAATTATGCAAATGAAGTGTGGGATATTTATATCCCCGCTTCATTTGCACTTTCAAAGTGCCTCATGTACATCCCTCTGTCAATCACAGAACCATAGAACTGGAAGAGACCTCAGAAGGTCATCAAGTCCAGCCCCCTGCTCTAGGCAGGACCAATTCCAGCTAAATCAACCCGGCCAGGGCTTTGTCAAGCCGAGACTTAAACGCCTCTAGGGATGGAGACTCCACTACTTCCCTAGGTAACCCATTCCAGTGCTTCACCACCTTCCTAGTGAAATAGTTTTTCCTAATATCCAACCTGGACCTCTCCCACCACAACTTGAGACCATTGCTCCTTGTTCTGCCATCTGTCACTACTGAGAACA